GGATGGATCTGACAATCTGCAGTGGAAAGAATGTCAAGTTGCATAAACTAAGTGTAAAAGGATCAAAGTATTATATATCAAAAGGAACAACAGAATCCTACCTTATCTCAGCATTTTCTTTCTCAGATTTCAGTTCCAATTCAATGTTTAGTAGAAGTATTTTGGGATTAAGAAACTTCTTTGGTTGCTGTTCAAAACCAGCATATGAAAATGTCTTCTTGAAGGCAACACCATTTACTAAAAAGGAGTCACGCATGTTGCCACCAGAAACCTGTAGAAGCAAACCAATTTTCTTATTATACATCATTCAATCCAAGCTATCATTTCCTGCCAAAACTAGTCGTTCACTCAAAAGAAAATAAACATAATAATAAAAAGCCAAACATAAAACTTCAAAATGTCACCACGAGAAGGTGGTGTATCACTACTAAGCTTCCTAATAATCAAGCCATATCAATACCCACAACAATTCTTATTCCAACAAAAGCAAGACCGTAGTCCCAGAGTCTGAAGCAAAAGGGAGAAGAACAAAGAAAACAAAGGAGAGAGAGAGTCTGAAGCAAGATAATGTAGATTTTGTTGAGATAGAAAAGGTGATGTAATGAATGTAAAACAAGCACAACATCCTGATATGTTTACATGTCTCAAAATTTTACTTAAAACATAAAAGTTCTGATTTTGGGGGGTTAGGGGGTGGAATTTAATACAGGTGCTAGATGTTTGGAGCTCTTTTATTGAACTTAATGCTTATTTCTAGAAGTTTATAAATGAATCCAACAAGTCAAATCTTTGAGCTGTCTTACTGATTTTTGTGATATCCTGGTATAATTCTTCATTTTCCACAAATATCCTACAACCTCTTCATCCAATCTCTACCCCACGCTCTCATCTCTCTCTTCCTTATGTCACCAGCTCCAACCCCCCCTCCTTCCCTCTCTCTCCCTAACTCTATCTCGTCCTCTCATTTCCAACCCTTTCTCTCCCTCCCTCTCATGCTATACCTCACCACTAGCCCCCTCTCACAACACCAGCCCTTACCACACCGTTCTCCTTTGGCATTGTTTCCATTATTGTCTCCTTCAAAGTTAACTTCCTAGTTAACAGCTAACAGCTCTTCCCCGTCACCAGAAACCATTAGCCAAACCACCAAAGAACCAAACCTGCAAAAGATTTCTAACAGAAGCCTAAAAAACCAAATCAAATCTAAAAGACCCATCAGCTGGAACACCCCCAAGAACCAAAATTGGTCAAATTCTCAAACACCTTGTAGCCAATTGGTTTTGGGTTGAATACTCCAACTTTAGCATGATATTATCAGCATGTCTGGCCCAGTTGGCCACATGTTTCATGTCACCCGATATAACTAGCCCACATTTTTTCTCTCAATCCAGCCACATGTAAAGGGACATCTTAGGAACATAAACATCATAAAGAACAATTTAAGAAGCAAACGGGACACTAAAAGAAGCCATATTATTCTTTATGAACTTCACTAAAGCAGTCCTTTAGCACAGAAGTTCTAGGCTCAAAGCAGTTTTTTTTAACTCCTACCATGAATCAAAAGAACCACATAAGCTGCACTGTGGCTAACAAAAAAAGAGACCAATTTTTAAGTTTCAGGTTGAAGGAGCCCTCAAAGCACACATACTGAAGGGCAGGGGAACAAATATAACAGCTTATCCTAGTGGCTCATAAAATATATCTTATTCTGATCATATCAATGAAAGCAGTCTATTGAAATGTAGTACGAAGTCTAAGAGCCACCAGAACATTCTTATTAACATAATTGACAGATTACATAGAAATCTTCATATAGGCAAAGAACTCCAGTCAAACTGAAGTCTTCATATGTGAAAGAACTCCATTCAAATTGAGGTCTTCATATAATTTATGAGGAACTTACCTTCTTTATTCCAATCATGTTGAGACGATCTTCATCACCAATTGCGATGACAGCATCCACGACCATGGATGCAAAAAACTCCTTTTCTCCACCAATAAGTTTTGAAGAAAGTGTAGTAGCGGCACATTTAGCTAGCAGTGTTTTCTTCTCTTCAAGGCTCTTCCCCTCTATGCTTACAGCAAGTTCTTTGATTTTCTCAATTGCCTATAATCAGTTTATAATATTCAAGATGCATAAAGATCAGAACAAGCATCTGAATCATACTTAGAAATTGAAAACTTAATTCTGATCACGTACCAAATAGCTAGCGTTTCGATAACTTCTTATCAAATTTTGTGGGTGCACCCCATCCTCTATGAAAGGCTTGGCCTCCTTCAAAAACTCCCCTGCAAGCAGAACAACTGTTGTTGTTCCATCACCAACCTGCTCCAGAAGCAACAATGGTTAAAAACCTTCTGAAGCATCCCACTTTTAAACACTACATATGCCCAAAACAAATTGTTCAAGTGGGATTTCATCTGCATAACTACCAAATCTCCATTCCTACTGATTTCATAGAAGAATCTTCTCTTTAAGTAAAATAGAAACCTTCTAACATCCAAAACCCTGAAACGACCAAAACCCATACCTCAGAGTCCTGCGACTTGGCGATGTCGACAAGGATCTTGGCGGCGGGGTGAACTACATCAAGCAACTTCATGATGGTGGCGCCATCGTTGGAAATAGTAACGCTGCCCTTGTCGTCGTGGATGAGCTTGTCCATGCCCCTAGGCCCCAGCGTGGTCCTCACCACATCGGCCACCGCTGTGCAAGCGTTTATATTGCTCACCAGCTGCGCCTTCCCTTGCGACGTGTCCGTTCCCTCCTTTAACAGTATGATCTGTGGTTGCTGTTTTCGTTTTCAATTTTTTCGGTTCAGGCATTTTCACAAACAGTTAGCAAACCCAACACAGAAAAAGAGGAAGAGTCACAGATAGTGGCTCATACGCACAGAAAATGAACAGAGAAACTACAAATGAGAGAGAGAGAGAGAGAGAGAGTACCAGCATGGATGACATTGTTGCCGATGTAGATGTTCACGCGGACAAGAGAGGGAGAGGAAGAGAGACAGACAGAGAGAGCGAGTGAGAGTATAGGGAGTGTTCAAAAGAGAGAGAGAGAGAGAGAGAGAGCGCTAGGGTTTTATGTTCAAAGTGAGTTCTGGCTCTTTCTAGTTTTTGCTATTCAGAAATTTACCTGGATCCTCTCCTTGTTCCTAATTGTCTTTTAATTCTGACCATCAATTAAGATCTACCGGTTGAAAATATCCCACATCAGCATAACAGTGCTTGAGTATGTATGGGTGCATATTATACCACACGGCCATTTCCAAATGTCGCACAATAACTTATCCTAAATATGGTTGGGAATACAATCAAAATTTTAATGACTCTAGGGCCTAGTTTGGGATTGCTGTCACTTTTAAAAAAAGTTGATTCTGCTGTGCTTTGAAAATAATTAGCTGTAAAGTAAAGCAGCTCCATGTTTGGTAAACAATATTTTTAAAGTGCTGTTAGTACAAAAAGCAGTGTAAAAGCGTTTGGTAAATTTTAATATAAAATTGTTGTAACTGTGAATAATGACTAAAATAGACATGACTCTGCTTCTTTTGAAAGCAGCTTTGAAAAGCAACCCAGAGCCTGCTTTTAAAAGCTGCTGTCAAAAGGCCATTGCTTTTAAAATAATCGGGATATTTTCTTTTTACCAAACACCTTAAACTGCTTAACTTTAAAGTGAAGCAGGTTTTTGGCGAAAAAAAGCAATCCCAAACGGGGCCTAGGAGTGATTCTAGATAGGCCGATAATCACTTCTCCATATAATCACTTGGGTTTTCGACCGAAATGGTCTTCCAACTATTGCTCCACCAACTAAATTTTTTTTTTCAATAGTCTTCGAACTTTTCATTTGATGTCAAAACGGTCCTACTGTCAAAGTCTATCAATCATTCCGTTAGCTTGCGGGGCAAAAATGAAAACCTATGAATGGGGGTGTTTTTCTCCCTATCCCCGTCTTTTTATCTCTCTCCGTCATCCTCTCTTTCTCTCTCTCCCCCCATCTCTGTAACCAACTCATATATGAATTTGGGGTTGTTTTTGTTGGATATGGCTTATATTTGAATCTGATTGGCTTGATTTTCGGGGCTCCTATGGGCTTGAAGTTGTTACTTTGTGTGAGAGATTGAGGGGGATGGGAAAGGGGGGCTTATTTGAGGATGGGGTCGTGATGAGATGAGGGGTGGGGGCTGTGTTATTACTTTTTTTAATTGGGTAAATTACTCAAATGGTCCTCAAACTTATACCCGATGTACATTTTGGTCCCTTAATTAAATTATTCGTTCAAATGGTCCATCAACTCTATATTAATCGCTCCATTGATCCTACTGTTAAATTATGTTAATGTTGCCGTCAAATGTAAGAGTAAAACTGTCCATAACTGTCCTATGTTCCCCAAATAGGTGCTAAAGTGGTGATACAGTGGTGATAAAGGGGTGATACATAGGTCAAAAGTCTTATTTACCCCCACAATTGTAGCATGTGCTGCTCACATGACTAAATTTAACAGAAAATGTAACAATATGACCAAAGCAACAATTAATAAAAAGTTGGTGGACCATTTGAACGAATAATTTAGTTTAGGGACCAAAATGTAAATCGGGTACAAATTTGAGGACCATTTGAGTAATTTGCCCATTTTAAATTTCTAGTTTTTTTAAACCTTTGTTTTAAGTTTATAATATTTTTAGGGTTAATTACTGTAGACGTCCGTGAACTATGGCCCCAGTTGCAATTGGGTCTGCGAACTAATTTTTGTGGCAAAGACATACTTTAATTAGACAATTAGTTGCAATTGGGTCCTACCGTCCAATTCTGTCAATTTATCCGTTAAAATGAGGGGTAAAAGCATCCTTTCGAGTTAAATAAATAATATACAGTTTGTAAAATTAAAAAGAAAAACTAAAAAAATCGAAAAATAATAATAATAATAAAATAAATAAATAAACTTAAAAATAAAAAATCCAAATCCAAATTCCTCTCTCTCAGCTCTTCCTCTCTGTCTCTCCCTCTCTCCTCCAATTCACTATTAAGCATAGACCGATCATGTAAGTGAAAAGCTTCATTGTCTCTTGCTATCATTTACATTTGCAATTATCATCAAACCATTTTAGTTTTGGGTTATTAATTTCCAATTGCAATTGCAGGTTTTAATTTAAACAGTGGAATAAAGGAAGGCTCCCAAAGTGGAAAATTGAGGCATCAAGCTTCCAATCCAAGTCCATTCAATAAGGATCTGGCAAAAACTTCAATGATCCTGTTGTGATTTTATTTCTCCGATTTTGCTCTAATTCTTTTTAGATGTTCATATCTCGAAAGCTTTTGAAAAATTCTCCTTTTGTTTGTTGTTTGTTGAACTGATGAATTTGTGAACTGGGTTTTGTTGGTGTTTGTGATTAGATATTTTCGTATAACCTGCATGTGGGTTTTAGGTGTTTCATTTTTCTAAACTTGTGAAGATGGAGGTGGGGTTGTTAGGGTTAATGATGGATGAAGAAGGTGGAGTTGGGGTCAATGATGGATGAAGAACCCAAAAGGACGCTTTTACCCCTCATTTTGACGGATAAATTGACAGAGTTGGACGGTAGGACTCAATTGCAACTCATTGTCTAATTAAAGTATGTCTTTGCCACAAAAATTAGTTCGCGGACCCAATTGTAACTGGGGCCATAGTTCACGGACGTCTACAGTAATTAACCCATATTTTTAAATTGTACTTTTATATTTTTTAGGCAAAAAGTCCAATTTACCCCTAAAATTTGAGCATGTGTCATCCACATGATTCAATTAACGGAAAATTGGATGGGAGGACCATTTTGATACCAAGTGAAGAGTAGGAGGATGATTTTGAAATGAAAATTTTAGTTAGTGGACCAAAATATTACTAGAGCAATAGTTGGGGGACCATTTCAGTCAAAAACCTAATCACTTTGGGCTCATTTGAGTGATTTTAGCATAATCACTTTATGTTAGTAGTGCTTTTACACAAGATCAATTTATTGTTTGGCTACCAACATAGAAGTGCTTTTATACTGTAAAAAAGTGATTTTGATGTTATTCGTAGCGTTTGGCTTCCTAAAGTTTTTCATAATCAAACATTTTAAAATTGATAACCAATCACATAATATTAAATCTTGGGCATTCTTAACCGAAAATTGAAAATATATAGCTTCAAATAATACCAAATGTTTCGTTAAAATAACAAATATCAAGTAGAAATAAGAAGATTTACAATTCTCTCCCGTTCGTCATCCATCTCTCGTGCACAAGTTACATTTTCTTCTACAATAGTCTCTTCCGTACTAGTCCCTTCTTTATCTTTTGGGGGAAGTAGCTCTTCATCATCATCATATGGTTGGAACTTTACACCCGTCATTGAATGAATTTTTATGAACTTATAGAGAGCCATTGAAGCAACAACGACTTGCAATTTTTTTTTCCAAAGGAAAATTATGAATTTGATGTACCATTCTCCATTGGTTTTTCCAAACACCAAATGTTCTTTCAATTGTGCATCTTAGAGATGAATGTCTATGACTGAAGATTTCTTTCTTCCTCTTGGTTGGTTTCTGTTGTGAAATTATTGCAAGCACACAATCCGCATAAGTAATATAGAGATAAGTGAAGTGTCGTTCCCATGAAGATTGTAATTTCCTTTTAGAAGAGTCTGGTGCGGCACAAAATATAGCAAACAAAGCTTTTCAAATTGTCATGTAGGTCAACAAACTTTAATTTGAAGAGTTTGGTTTGCTACTACTGTTGGAGATGCTCTAAGGTTAGTTTTTACTCTTTTTTTTTATTCCATTGATGAAATTATAACTCTTGCCACGTCCTCGCTAGAGTGATGTCGTATCTTCATAAATAAATAAAAAGAATTAACAGGACAATATTCATTAATTGACATGACATGATTGCAAAGATGCCACATAAGGTGGTCAATCATGTGGGTTGCCTAAAAAAAAATGTGGTCAATCTTGTGTGCCTAAATAGGTGGTTTGGGTACATGTGCCTCTGATTTTCTATGGATCTTGGTTAATCTAATTCGATAATAATCTAATCTGACTTAGTATGAAGTATAATTTAGTTTTTCTATGCCTTATATGTGTAAATGTGTAATTTTAGTTTTATAGCACTAGGAATACACTTAAAACTAATATTTATGATACTATATATATAATTTATATAAAAAGTAGATAAATATAATAAAAGAACAAGGCTACTAATGAAATTTTGATTGTACATCTCAAAATAAAATCTGATGTGTAATTGATATAGATTGATAAGTCAATATGATAGTCCGAATACGATCCAAATCTAATAATCGAATTATAAATGAATTTGGATTTGAATTAAGGTATATCTGATCCGTTTACATGTCTAGGTATGACTAAAAACCACAAAAGAAAAAAGAAAATCGGTACTCATTCGAACAAACAAAGAAAATTAAAGATGGCAATAATAAATCAAGAATGGCCAATAGGCCATTTCAACTTCTTCATTTTGTTCTTTTTCCAATTCTCTCTCTCTCTCTATCTCTCTCTCTCTCTCGATCTTTTTATGTAATATATATATATATATATATATATAGAGAGAGAGAGAGAGAGAGAGAGAGTTGTGATGATGGAGGGTTTAAGTTTGAGAAGGGTGTTGACGGTGGGCATGACAGTGGCCATGGTGATAATGTTGAGAGCTGAGATGGGTAATGCCAGTGAGAAAATGCATTATGTTGGAGGAAGCAAGACAAGTTGGGGGCCATCAAACGTTAACCTCACAGAGTGGTCTTCTCACGAAACATTTTACGTTGGCGATTGGCTCTGTAAGTTAATTTTATTCTCTCTTTCTCTTCATCTTCATCATCATCATCATCATCATTTATCCTTTTTCTTTGATTACTGCTTGTTAATTTGTTTGTTTGTTTGTTTCCTAAGAAAATAAATTATTCATAAAACCCACAAGCAAAAATTATTCTCACTGTTAGTCATATCCCTTAATTCTCTCTTACTTTTTCTTAGGTTGTACCTTTTGTTTTTCATTTTTATATGGGCTCCTCTCCAATTGCACTTGTTAATATTATTTTCCAAAGGCATTTCTCGTATCTTTCCCAAATAATTATATCTCAATTTATATAACTCTTTGTCAACAGGGTCCAGCCCGATGGAATAATCTTAATTTGCAAACTAGTGGTTTCAAGTTCGAAACCCCCTCTTCATTGTAATTTAGACTATCGCTGGTGTTAAAAAATAATGTATCCTCTTGTGTTGGTTAATTTCCTGAACATAAACCCCATAATTAATCATCAAATTATTCAAATTTTTGAGACAGTACATGGAACCCAAACCAGTAAAAATTAAATACCTTCAAAATTTGTAACGTTCAATCAAGAAAAATATTTGGCTTTGTATATCTCTCCCCCTTAATTAGGGCTGGTCCTAAGCTTTCGGCACCCTCAGTGAACTCTCAAAACAGAACTACATATTCACACAAATCACCCCAGAAATATACACTCATACGCAAATCTATGTCCAAAAAAACATAAAACACTCCACTGAATAAATCTATATATATATATATAAAGCAATGGTAAAACATTCAAAATATTAGAGAATGCTCTTGGTTAATGCAAACATTAAGAATTAAAATTATTAATTAAATGAGAATAATATGGTAAATTCACATTTTTCATATTAAAAAAATTAAAATTAAAAGAAAAACCATATAATGGATACTATTTTTCTGGAACACAACTACCCATTATCTTTTTTAATTCTAAAATAAAAATACATTCAAGGGTTACTGTAGGTATATCGTTTAGTTTTGATGTGGTCCAAATATTATTTTTTTTTTTGTAAGTTTTCAAAACTTTCATATGGGTCAAAATTCAGAAAATTTTGGTGTCATGAGCCCTTGTACACCCAAAATCTCTCAAAAAAGCCATGGCCTTGGGCCGGCCCTGCAGCCTCTGCCTTTCATGCGTTTTATTGTATACAACTGGAAATGTCAAATGTTCCTCCTACCTTAATCGGATTATGTATGTTCTTCAAATCAATCAAAACCACAGCTGATATTAGTGCGTATTTAATTTTAAGTATTCATTACCTATGAAATTAATTGAAGGTGGTAAATGTTATTAGATTTTGGATATGACAAGTACCAGTATAATGTGCTGGAGGTGAACGAGACAAGTTATGAAAAATGCATCGACAAAGATTTCATAAAAAATATAACAGGTGGTGCGGGAAGAGATGTGTTTAATCTCACACAAACAAAAACCTACTACTTCCTAAGCGGTGGGGGCTATTGCTTTCAAGGGTTGAAGGTTGCCGTCAACGTCCTCCGACCAATGCCGCCTGCCCCGGCACCGACGTCTACTTCTTCTTCTTCTACTTCTACTACTGCTACTTTTTCTTCGTCGCTACTCCTCCTCCTGTTGCTGCTTTTAATTGTAATTTAGTACTAGTGCTTTGCTATTCATTTGGAACATTTGAACATTTGGAAGGACGTTTTGTTTTAAGTTTTAGGCAGCGAATTTGTTTGATTAAATAGCACTTGCAGACTTTGTTGCATTAATATGATTCTCCTTTTTGTTTCATTTAATAAAATTTTTGGAATTTTCACATATAAGCTCTTGATAACTTTACATTTGAGAGAAAAACCCTTCAAAAAAAAAAAATTAAATAAAACTTTCGAAAAAGCATTATGCTGTACTTTTAAATGGAAAAATAATAACACACCAAAAACCAATTAAGAAATTACAAATAGCTAGTTGAGGGCTTTAAATTAAGAAACACAGGGATATTTCTAGTTTACTAAACAAAATTAGGGCTAAATTATTTTTAGAAGGTTGCCAATTATGTCAATATACTAATGTTTGTTTCCATATTTTTTTAAATTTGCAAAACATGTTAAGACTGGTTGTTACACATTTTCTTGGGGATTTCTTTTGGCAGAATATTACACATTAAATATAGTTACACTGTAAAATGTGTGTACACAGTTATTAATATTGAATTTGTTGCTTCTGTAGACATATTTGGTCATTGGGTGAAAACAGGATTTGAACTGTATGAGATCTAATCTTCTACTGTTCTTTACTAGTTTAGAAATCCAAAAGGAACTCGAAATCATCCAGGAATTAAGACATTTAAATTTCGCTAAAATAGTTTCATTATAGGACTTGAAGTATAAGGGAAGAACGTAATATAGTTATAGTATTTTTATGAAATCGATTAATTAGTAGATTTTTTTTTTATACCACGTATATGCCTTTAATAATTCAGAAAAAAAGGATAAAAGTAAAAGAGTTCAATGAAGTAAGAAATCTTACAATTAATTACACCTCGAAAGCCCTTGATAAGGAACTATCATATGAAATAGAATCATATGATTTTCGAGCTGTTTATTTTTTTTTTAAATTGACAAGGTCTAGAGAGTTTCCGTGGGTAAAAGGAAGATACCAACTCTAGAGATAGAAAGGATGATAGAAGTATTCACAATGATTTGGATTGCAACATGCAAAGCATGACCTGGTAGTTATGCTGAAGAAAAGACAAACTTCATCCAATATGATCCAACATGATATCTTTATTTCTTGAGCACACATCAAGGATTTTCTTGTGGAGTTGTAAAATCGATAATTATAACATAAAATTGCATAAAGGGTTATATCTTTTTACACACCTTTAGGATGTGCAAGCCCAAAGAATCATGCTCAACAGGTACAACGACAACAACATAACATACCCCTTTTCTCATTTTTCTGGTACCTTTTTGCATGAGACATGCATGCTCTGCTACCTTTTAAGCATGGAGGGTTTGATTTTTAGCAAGGCCATAAATTAATCCAGAGAGAGAGAGAGAGAGAGAGAGAATGGAGGGTTTGAAAAGTAGAGTTAGGTGGTTGATGATTTTGATGGTGATGATTAGAATGCTGCATGTTGATTGCAGGCAGCCTGTGCTTCATAAAGTTGGAGGGGGAAGGTTCACTTGGGCTCCCAATATTAACTTCACAGAGTGGTCTAGTCACGAGAACTTCTATGTGGGTGATTGGCTTTGTAAGTTTCTCTCTCATATCACAAACATCAGATTGATTTTTACCTCCAATATAATAATTTGCTAACCTTCACAAGCAATTTTCTATGTCCAATTAATCCAGATTTTGGGTTTGATAAGTATACCTACAATGTTCTTGAGGTGAACAAGACTAGCTATGATAATTGCATTGACAAAGATTTCATATATAATGTTACAAGAGGCGGGCGGGACGTGTATAACTTGACGGAGGCGAATACATATTTCTTTCTCAGCAGCCGAGGTTACTGCTTTGAGGGAATGAAGGTGGCTGTTCAAGTTCGGGAAGTCCCACCAGAACCACTTCTGCTTAACCATGGTTTTCGATCATACGTCTACATTCATGCTATTCTACTAGCAACACTTGCCACTGCTTGTGCATGCATACTTCCCTTCTAGTTAAATGACATTACCAGCATGCATGAGTTGAGGTAGTGGGAACAAATATACTAGAGCCTAGCTAGCCTCTGATATTGTAGATTTAATGGTTCTCAAAACTCTAGTTATTTAGCTCTATGCAAAGCCACTGCACTACTTTGCATCTAAAGAGAACACGAGTAAGGAATGATATTCAAAATAAGGCAAAGCTATCTAAGATGTACCCCAAACCACACAAAGAAGCTGCTACTTTCAATCTTCGCATCAATAACCTACTTTCTCATGCCCCGATTGGCTAGCACAGAGCTTAAAGCATAAATTTCAACTGGTATCGCAACTAAGCTCATACACCTCAAATTGCACAACCCTAAACACTTCAGCAGAGCACAAGCCTGGAGCTAAAAGAACAAACCAAACCCTCAAGACCAACCACAAAATACAAATGCCACTAAATACACAAATGCCAACAGAAATTATGTCATAATCCCATAAGTTTGGCTACACACAGTCAACATGAAGGTCAACCAGCAATTAAAGCCTGACAAACGCAGGGTACTAGTACACTAATACAAGCTTACTACCGTCGGTTCAAACCTCCTATGGTGGGAGGGTACACAAAAAACTATATACAAAGTGTTCTGAGTAGTCTTAATATGCTCAAGGCTCAGAGATCTCAGCAGAAAAACATGGAACTGGACACATTCTCCTTCAGCCTGGGCAGTTGAGGGACAGGAACTGCTCCAGCAGAGGTCACACCGCCATGGCTCGAGGATGTCTCAGATGCATCTTCAAATTTCATGAACTGTCCCATCTGAGTGGCGGCCAAGTGAGCATAGCAAACAGGAGCAACTGAAAAGAAAAATATTAAATCAAGGGATTAAAATTTACTTAAAATTCAACAAGATCAAAGGATCTCATTTGCAGCTTGGCATGTTACGATGCCCATTACAATAACAGCATAAATATCAAGCAGAGGATTGCAGTAGGATCAGAACAAAGTACTCCAACTTACCTACAGAAATGGCAGTGGTACTTCTTTGGTATCTGCAATCATGACAATTATGATTCAGAAGAATCCTAATTATTAATTAAGGCTAAAAGTAAGCAATATATCCCATTCACTTACACATATGAAAGAGAATGCACTAGCTCCTGCAGATCATCTGCTGAGAAACCTACTTCGTCTAAAAGAACATGATAATGTGTAGGCCTCGTGGTCCCCTTAAAAAAACAGGTTAAGAGCAAACCAAGTTAATATAACTTGTCATACTATTCCAGACAGCAGATAAGCAGCAAAAATAAGTTCTGAACCATTACATCTGAGATTTAACACTCCTACAATCATAGGTTAATTAAAACACTCACTTTTTGAGTGCTTTTATCATAGCTGTAGAACAAGATGGAAAGGTCCAGGCTTAAGTACTCAAATTTAGCTACTTTACAGCATCTATATGGTTCAAGATATATATATATATATATATGTATTGATACTCACAATCATTCCAGCTTGGGCACAGAGATAAAAGTCATTGTTTCTTGGATGACAAACTTTGTTGTCTATAATGGTTCCTGCAGAAACAATAAATAGTATAGGTATGTTGAATGATGTAAATTATTTAATTTGTATGCTTGTGCCTGCCTACCAGGAGGAACATTGTCAGGGGAAGGAGGCTGAAAGAATTTGGTATGGTGGTTCTTCTGAGCAATAATCACCACAAATTTTGGGTTCCAGTTCTCATCGAGAAACTTGCATGCCTGACCAGAAAACAAAAATTGACATCATTTCCAAGTGGAGGACAAATTTGAAGGGCACAATGGTCAGTTCACAAAACCTCAATGATTTGATCCAGTTCAATGTTCAAAACTTGGTTGAATTGAGACTCGCTGACTCCATCCCTAAATCCAATATATAACTAGTCAACAACATGAAGGTATCAGAAGCATAAGTAAAAAACTTCTAAGATGAATCAAGCAGAAAAACTCACAGAATGTGATTAATCAACATGAACTAAAATGTTTATAGCTTATTTATAAAAATTGTTCCAAAGAAACAGATGCCCATAAAAAATTATAAAATATAATTAATCAATACCTACCTGTGGTGTTACAAAGAGTGCCCAATTTTCAATTGATAATTAAAGTATATAACGGAGTACCATACGTTGAACAAAGTTTATAAAAGTAAAAGGCATTTAACTAAGAAAGGGATTCATGAAAAGATTTTAGTTGGAATACCAGGACTGCAGCTTAAAAAGTGCCTGGTTCAGACCAATCTAGTAGCTATGTATTCCATCATTCCAATCCTTACGTATTTGGCATGTCATTTTGGTTCACTTACTATTGAAGCCTCAATACTCTTTAGTGTTTACTACTGTACTAAAAAATAAATAATTAGAATGTGACTTCTAACTCATTGTGTCAGAAAACAAATGCAACATTTTGAATATTTGGCATAGGAAAATTCAAAAGACTGAATGAAACTACTCATATTTAAAAATTACCAATTTAACTCATAACAAATACAATGTTTCCCAGCATTTTGAAAATTTAACTCAGGAGATTCAAAAGACTGAATGAAATTACTGATATTGAAATAACCGTTTTCTACTGGTATGAAAGAGCATGAACAATTAGAAATTCACCCATACTATCATGTTTCTCTTTAAATCTTTCCAATCTGTGCACGCTTTTTTAGTGTACATGCAACTCACACACACACAATATAATACTTAAGCTACGAAACTAAATTGCTGTAAAAATAAATTACAAACAAGATACTTCGACTGTTCCATTTCTTTCAAGTTCATAGTTTCAAGCAGCATTTCAGAAAATACAACCACAATTCATTTGATTTTAGGTTCTGTAATGTAAACATACCTGAATATGATGATCTGGTCTGGTTTCTGCTTGCCTGAACTTGTATAGAAGTCCAGAAGCAGCTCTCTGAAATTAGGGAGAAAATTACCATTTGTGTGGTTTGTAAAGTATTTATGAAAACAAAAAGTGAAACAATAATAAAACAAATTGAACATTGGAAAGAAAATGACTTTCTGCTAATCTTCTATCCTACCTCATAATGCCATCATCTTCTGATTCAGAAAGTCGCTTGTATAGGGAGTCTATCATCTCCACCTTGGGGGACTGTGTACGAACAGATGCCCTGTAGCGAGAAATCAGTGGCCATTGCCTGGAGCTGACCACCTTTAATTCCACCATTGAACACACCATATTATAACAGATATCATTGTTTTTCCCATCAAAAGTACCGACATGTGCAGAGTCCAACCGAATTCAGTATAATATCAAAATGAAAGTATAAATTTATTGACATTTAATCCAGAAGATAAAACTTAAACAGCAGTTTACCGCAGCAATTGATGGCACATCAGACTGCCCAGGAGAGCCATGTGACACATCCATCCCAAGAATGATTGTGGGTGCCTTGGAAACCACCGGGATAGAAGGAGAATATTCAACCGCCAACAGTGAATTTAACCCACCAAGCTGCAAGGAATTACAAGGGCAGGTCAACAAGCATGAGAATACAACAAAGAACAAATCCACTCATCCTAATTAGTAATTGCTAGAAAGAGAAAGAACATGGCCATTACTATAACTCACCTTAGCATTGATCTTTAACAGAACATTTGTAAGGTATTGATCATTGACCCTTGTAGGAGCAATGCATTGTGTAACGATTCCATACTCAGCAAGATTCTTCCTCTTCCATGGACCTGGGTGAATCAATAGAAATCATTAACAGGAGGTATTATAATATTTAACATATCAATAATAATATAGGTAAAACAACTCAACCATATAGAGCGCTATTTTTTCTCTCCGGAAGCAAACAAAGAAGGAACTGTGGTTGTCCAGGAAGTTTGGACTGTATATCCTCAAACATTCTCTCAACTCTAACCATAGGTGGGGCACGTCTAGACTGTGGATTCTCTTCAAATACATCAAAAGGAGGCTCTATGCTCTGCCAAAAGGGGAAGAATAGAAAAGAAAAAACAAAATACAAGTTATTAAATAAATAAAGTACTGAGTTACTTGAATACTATGTGCAATGGCAAAACTTACAATTCCCTTCATCTCTCCACATTTGATCAGATCACGGACTAGGCCTTTTAAATCACAGCGTGCGGAGAAGTTGACAACAGCCCACTTTTCTATCTTAGTTGGCTTCACAAGTTTCTGCAGTTCGACAATATATATTAGACTATTGAATCAAACTACTGATCCAATAAAAAAGAAGGGATAGAGGAAGGGGGAACCATCACCTTGTTGTTGAAATTCCACCGCCCATTTCGTGGGAAGAAATCATCCCCATTGCCCACTTTCAACTTTTAAGGAAACCAAAGAAATGAATTAGTAGAAGTACAACAGAAGAGGCAATGCCAAAAGGATAAACTAAACCAATTCACATTAGCAACCATATAGGCTCATAAAGGAAAACATGGCACGTACTCTCGGCGCTGGTAGAACACGGCCTTCCACTTGAGTAAAGCCACTACTAATTGAAACACCACATGAGCGTAGCATCGGTTCAGCATCATAATTGTTGATTTTCAAAGCCTGCAATAGTACTCATCAAACTTGGAGTCAGGGATCCGTATAAAATGAGTAAAAGGTTAAGGGAAGACACCTACATTAGACAAAACACTCATTCTCTCTTGCGGCTTTTGCCTTGATTTCTCCACCAGTGAAGCTCTTTGAAGTGTGGAAAGAGCTTTTGTATAGCGTTGCAAGGACACCAAAGAACAAAGCTGTATGGAAAAATAAAATCAATAAAAACATAAAAGTCAAGGATAAGATTAAACATCATATCTATAGCACCAACTAGAAAGAAAAATAAACTCATCATGTCACCTCCAGGGGGATATAAGTAGGACGCTTTGGCTTCCCAACATTAATACATGGTAGATCAGCAGAATAACGCAACTGTATATTGCGATGATTAGCAAAATAGTCATAAACAGTCACTTCAATTTCTCCATCCTCTCCATCCTTGGCATGTTTGTTTCTCAATGTAAAACTGTATCATACCAGGATAACAAGTGTAGAGTGTTAAGAACATGAACACAAGAAAAAGAGCAGCACCAGTGCAAATTAAAGGGTAGATAAAGCACAAAGACGTAAAAAAGAAAAACGTGGTAACATCAAAAGAATAATATACGTTTGCTCCCGGCATGGCTTCTCACTCAAACCAGTTATCTTGTATTCTAGATTGGATGGACTCGTTTTGACCCTCAAATTCTTGAGTGTCCGTTTAGCCTGGTCAAAGAAACAAGATCAAATTATCAATGAGTAAATAAAAAATATTAACACTGCAGAATGAATAATCAAGGGGTTTGTTACCTTCATCCAGTCAAGTGAAAAAGGATCTCTAACATTTTGGTTGGCAATTAAAAAATCCACCACTGGCCCAGGCTGTATAATCATCGTAGTAGATACATCTGAACATATACGCAATGGAATAGGTGAAAAAAATGGTAAGTTTTGAAAAACATAACAGAACATTAAGTAAGATAGTTACCAATATTCAAAGACAAGCCACCCTGGGTGGTTCTAAAACTTGAATGGAATCCTCTGCAGCCAAGAACACCACCTCCAACATCCGCAAAATTTTTTGGATCATTATGGAAGAAAGATTGGCGAACCAGGAGGCACCCTCTGTTATAATCCAAGATTTCATTAGATATGATCCCATCCAGCCAAAGAATAACATAAACACAAAACTAAGTGCAGGAACAGATGGGAGAAAACAAGGAGAACTTCACTCACTGCTTAGATGCATGCTGTCTTAATATGATGTCCAGTACTCTCAGAGCTTCTTGGGAATTCTCTGATTCTTGACCACGCAGAGCATCTCCAATTGCTTTCATGGGAATCTTTGCAGCATAGCTAATCTCTACATTGAATGTTTTAGACCGATTTGGGCGCCTTAATCTCTTCCGGTCACTCTCATTTGGACTCCCATGACCATCAGGGCTAGTGTTTCCATTATTTCTAAACACAAAAAAGTCCAACCAAATTTAGGGCAAGAAGGTTGAAAGGAGAAGCAACCAACACCAAGGGAAGAAATCCTTTACAATCCTTCCTCATATACCTGTTCGATGGCATATCCTCGAGCACAACAGCAAATTCAAGTTTGTTTCGTGGAAGGGAACCAACAGTGAAGAGGCTCTTCTCCCCATCATAAGCAAAGTCCTTTCCACCTAACTCAGAGTGATAAGTCTCATGCACCCTATCGATTATTCTTCTTCCAGCACCCTTGCCATCAAGAGGACGGCCATCTTCATAAGAAACAGAAACCTATGTACACAAAAATGAGAACAAGTGTAAAACTGATGACTTCAGAACATTAGGAAAAAGATTGGAAAATACAGAAAGTTTATGGGACATACACTGTAGTGGAAGAAGTAACCATCAATATTAGTAACATTCACTTTGAAGTGATTAGTGACCAGAGGTATCTTTGTCCCCTTGGTTCCAAGGCCACGCCTAGCAATTGGAACCCGCACATTTTTCTTCTTAACAGGTTCAGGAATGTTATCTGCTTCAGGACGCAATGGAACAACATCTGGTGGAATAACAGGGGGTGGGGGTGGCAATGCATGCTCTGCCCCATTCACCCCATCTGCCCCATTCACCCCATTTGCCCCATTCACCCCATTCACCCCATTTGCTCCATTTCCATCCGGCTCAAACAAATCCATACCCTTAAATACAAAATAAGTATGCAAATGAGACGCAACAAAATTAAGCATTTTCATGAAGAAGAAAAAAAAGAGTACACGCTTAAGAAACTTGATTCCTAATGCCAAGGGATAATGTTGAAGCAGGAATGGAACTTCCAAATACAGCACCAGCGGTACTAATAACACACTTTGACTACAACAGGGATATATTAAACTTCCTATAAGGTGGCAAACAATAACTAGAAAACCGATCAAGAAGTAAAACCCAAAAAGGCAGTGAAACAACGATGTAACTGCTTGAAAAATTAGAGAAAGAACAATTGCACAGTATGACACTGAATACTAACACCCATAACACATTTATATCTCACCACAAGTTCACTAAATACTGAAAATCTGGGAAACAAAAGGCCTTAGGAAGAAACTTTAACATAGCATCAGAACCCAGAAACTATCTCTACACAATTTAGGCAAGGAAGTTCTTAATCATGCTGATCCAACACAAAAAACTTAAGCAAAAGATAACAATTCAAGCATACAAAAAGTTCAAAAGAACTGCGTAGAACAAAGCACTTAACTGAGCTATTTATAGAAAATAAATGTCTAAGGAAGTTCATACAGAATCACATAGCACTCCAAATACCATATTCAGTAGGTGAGGCCAAAATTGAACGATAACAGAATCTCAACATCATGTAGTGTTCAAATAAAACAAGGCAAAATAATCAAGAGAAGCACTATCTAGAATGCCATGTGGGAAGTCAGAGCTTCTAAGCACCCTTTTTTGTTTCCAGAACTGCAGACTGTATGACAGTAAGAAATATGCCTAACAAGGCAAATTTGAGACAAAACTGACTATTTTACACTCGCTAACACCCTAATACAACACAAGCATCACCTTAAGCCTCGATGGAGTATTTAAATCCAAATTGATGTTAACGGATGGTACATAAGACCCTTTCACAACAGAGCACAGTGACCAGAAATCTAACTCAGAATGAGAAAAATTATACACACACTTAAGGTTTTGACAGCTGAAAAACACATGCACATGCAGACAAGTACACAGACCCGTGAAGAGGCTTTGACAAGAATTTTAACGGTGCAGCCCCTTTCACAACATAAAGATACCATAGTGGCAACAGAGCATAGTGACCAGAAATCTAACTCGGAATGAGCAAAATTATACAACACTGAAGGTTTTTACAGCTGAAAAACACATGCAGACAAGTACACAGACTTGTAAAGAGGCTTTGACAAGAATTTTAATGGTGCAGATGATAGAAATAGGAACACGATATCAATAATGGTCTCATAGAGTCAAAATATAAATACATGCTACTGTGGATCACAGAAAACGTAACTGACAATAAAACTTTACATCAAAATCAAAGTTAAAAAAATGGGAAACAAACAAAAAGCCAAAAACACACCTACATGTGAGTTTTAAGGAGAAAGCCAACAAAAATTAGATACATAAGGTTTAGTTTAAGGAAACGCAACTCGACCATGGAAGCTGTAAAAATCTCAAGATTTAAAAGAGTCCAAATTTTAAATAAAATATCAGTACATCAAAAAACCACACATGCTTACATCAGAGCAACAACTCAAGACAATTAAAACATACACATGTAAAAAACCTTCGCAAGCGAGAAAAATCCCCCAAGACGAAACCCAAATGCAGAGTGGTTAAAAAGAGTCATTTTGAAGCGCAGTAAGACCCGAAAAAGGGACATGCAAATGAAAAAAATGAAAACTTTACTATTAATATTACCTAAGCGCACAAGAACCCCGCTTCTGAGAAACCCAAACGAGAAAATTCTTCAACCCTGCAAGTGAAACAGTATTAATACACAAGGATCGGTCTTAAAAACCGAGAAATGACCCAAAATCAGTCGAAAACAGAAGTGCATTGCTCAAAACAACAACCACACAGAACAAACAAGAGGAGAAAAGAGAAAGCTCGAGACTTTAACATACTGTAAGCATAAAAAAACCAAAAGGTCAAAACTTTTTTTCAAAAACAAGAAAAAAAAAAAACTTGAACTGCAAACATGAGAAATTTGCAGAGATGGAACTGAGAGACACGAAACACCCAAAATCACCATGAAGCAAAAACAAAACTGAACTGCATTGAAGAAAGAAACACTATCAAGAATCAAAAACACTCAAACCCACAAATACCAAGAACAAATTTTGGCTTTGAAAAGCACAAAAAAAAAACACCCAACTCTGAAGCAAAATGCTTTTACCTGAGAAGACAGAGAACCCAAGAGAAGAAACCCTAAAACTGAGATTTTGGGACTGAGACTGAAGAGCTGAGAGGTTTTCCACTTTGTCAACTCTCTCTCTCTCTCATTAACTCTCAGTTACTCTCTCTCCTATTTTAACAAACACATACAAACTCCTGCCTATTATATCTTCGTTGAGTCCAAAGTTCTACCATCTCCTCTGTCTGCGGTACCAATCACTACAGTCCCTGCGGTTACACGAACCAGACCGTGTCAAACCTTGTGGGACCCCCTCTGATCGCACGGTCCAGATTCATTTCACTCAGAAGCATTAACTGCTTGCAACTCTCTCTACTCTTTTATCCTTCCAAAGCGCACGCTGAAAGTGCGCTCTGAGTTGTTATGTTATTCCTCGTGTCACCGTAGGCTGTTCCCGTCTGTTTTGACGGTTTTGCCCCTGCCTGAAGTCCTAAATGACAGTTGGGTCCCTTTCGTTGTCAAACTAGAGAGAATGCTGTCGTTTTTGCGTTTTGGTTCGCGTGAAAGGGCCATGGGCAGTATGGTCATTGCAAAGATTTTGTGAAAAGGTGGATTTGTTGCTCTTCCCATGTTATTTGACGGTTTTACCCCTCATTAATTTCTTGAATAATAGTTGTGGCCCTTTCGTTGCCAAACGAGAGAGACAGTTTTTGCGTTTTGTTTTGCGTCAAAGGAACGTGGGCAGTATGGTCTTTCAACAATCCTCGTGCGGGGACCACGTGGGTGAGGTGAGGGTCTCCACACATTAAACCAGCTCGAAATTCAAATCTGTGTCTTATTTTTTTAAGTCAAATCTGTGTCTCTGCGTGGGGGAATGAGAGACTTCTACTGTGACGATTTACTGTTGTTGGCTCTTGAATATTCTTTTCTAAAATAGACATTTAGTTATGGCTCTTCTTCCGTTTTAGTTTTCCAAACATTACATAAATAGATCCTCATTACTACATTTTGGGGTCGTTTGGTACGGTGTATTGTCATGGAGTGGACTAAATTTTGGAATTGTCTTAAATTGCTTTGGCCTAAGCTGGATAACACTTGTATTAAGTTTGGTGTCTATTTGATTTTATTTTTTTTTTTCAAACGTTGGAAGCAATTTATTAAAGCCGAATTGGAATGTTTACATAAGCAGCAAGAGTGTCAAACAACCACTCAGGCCAAAGTTGATCCCATTTAAACTTCCCACCCACACGAGATACATGCGCTGCTACCAAATGAGCAGCTGCATTGCACATGCGATTCACAAAAGTAAAAGATACCTGACCCACATAAGAAGCCAGTAACTTAATATCACGAATAATGTCGTCAATAGTAGTATCCATCTTCATAGTACCATGTAACATCGCAACAAGCTGTTTACAATCTGTCTCCACCATCATTCGAGCAGCTCGAGCCTCCAAACTCGCAGCCACCGCCTCTCTCACTACTTCCGCTTCCGTAGCCAAAGCCGACTGGCAAGGAAAACCCCCCACACCCCCTGACATTTCCATCCAGCCATTACTGTCTCGAGCCACCCATCTGGCTCCACCTCTCATGTGCACTTGCATCCAAGCACCATCACAATTAAATTTCATCCAGCCATCAGCCGGTTCTGTCAAGTCTGGAAGTCACTACAATCCCACTTTGGTGTCTATTTGATTGGACTATAACTAAATTTTTTTAAAATAATTGTTTTTTAAAATAGTTTTTTTTAATATTTAGAAACATGGCATGTGGATTTTTTTTTAAATTTTTTTATAAAACTTTTCTTCACATTTCATTCCTTTCTTATTCCGCAGCTGGCTTCTTTTTCATCTTCTTCTTCTCCATCCTCTCTCCTTCTCCTCTTCTTCTATCTATTATTCAAAAAAAATTCTCTTCTTCCTATTCTATTATGTTTTCTCCTTCTATTTTTTTTCTTGAAAATTTTCTCCTCTCCTCTCTTCTTCCTCTTTTATTTTATTTTGTTTTCTCCTTCTCCTCTTTCTTTTTTTGAAAATTTTCTCTTTTCTCTTCCTCTTCCATTCTCTCTTCTCCTTCTTGGGTGGTTGTAGCTGGTGGTTGTGGTTGTCGTTTGGGTGGTCGGTGGTTGTGGGGACCTTGGGTGGGGTTGGAATTTAACAAGTGTCAAAATCTTATTTATTGTGAGGATGTACTCCTCCTCAATGTCAAGAGTCAAGCCATCCTCATTCCAAAATATACTTGGAAATAAAACTCTATGCATTTACATTTATCTTTACCAATGACTGTTACAGGAACAAACTTGTTTACTAATTTTTTAATACCAGTATATGTGGCACATGACATGGCAACCTATATTATCTTCCATCTCATTTGTTTTAAGGCTTTTTGTCGCCAACATGTGATGCAAGTTTAAAGATATTTCATTACATTTTACGGTAAATCATAATGGCAATTAGTTAATTTACGTTAACTACCTAAACAACAAGGCCATGGTCGGTGAGATGCGAAAAGAGATCTAAAAAAGTTAAGTCCAGAAGTCCTTTCCATATAAGCTCATCCTAAAGAGTTCTTGGTCAAGGAAGAAGTTATTACTGATTTGAAGGCCAATTGATGATGACTAAATTGGGATGCACCGAAGCCCCTATAAATACCAAGCTTTTGGAAGAGAGAAAGGACCCTTGACACAACACACAACTTGTCATTTTACATTCTCTTCAATTCTTGCCCTAAGGGTAGCATAATGTAGTCCATAGCCTAGGTCTTTTTTTTCCTAGTGGCACTCAAAATTCGACAACAGAATGGTTATGCTTCCTCATGAAGCCAACACCAAGCTTTTTAAATCCAAATATATGGGTTTTTCACCCATTCTGATGGATGATGGGATTAAAGAAAAGTTGGTGACCATCATACAGTCCATTGAAGAATACATTGCAGAAGGTATTCGTTCTAACCCTTTGGTTGCAATAAAGAGACACTTGATGATTTGTATATTAATTCATAATTAAAAGCTTGCAACTTCTGTCCTTGCCATCGTCAATTCTGGTGGTCAGAAATCAATCGTTTATCGAACCATGGGTAAACTACTCTACTTGTTAAATTGTTATTTTGATTTAACGAATCATTTTTGAACTTATTCTACACTTTCCAGTTCCTCTATAGGAGACATCTATGTATGATTTTGATGACAATGCTACAATTGAGAAATAATTTTATGATGATGAGGAAGAGATTGTACCAACTAGCATGAGTGTAGAAGTTGAAGATTCAATCCAAATGACTCTCCCTCCACCAGATCAAATTCAGAAAGACCAAACTCGGCTAGTTGCTTCCAAGAAAAGGACTAGAAGTGAGTCTCCATGCCCTATTCTCCATCCACTTTTAAGTAATTTTTTACATGTACTAATATTTGAACTGATTCAGGTTCTGCTGGTACAGAGGCAAATTCAATCGTTGTTCCAGAACCCAAAAAGAAGAAGAAGAAATTGATTAAAGCATCTCGGAGACAATTGAGAATGATGCAGGTTTCTGATAAAGAGGAAGAGCTAACATTCAATACAACCAGACCCGATTCCACTCATGTAATATGCTTTGATGTCTAATGTGAATTAATCTAATTATGAAAACTCCAATTGTGATTCAAGTGAGTTTGTTTGAGTACTCTATTCCTACAAACGCTTCGACTGTTAAAGTGGTCAAGACTGTTGAACCACCTGTTTGGACCTGTTTTTACACAACCAAGTTTAAAATCATATTGGGCCAAATTATGGCTTGGGCTTTAATATTAATCAAATATCCCAGCCAATCTATGGTAATGTGCTTTACCGAAAATCTTAGTTTACCCCATGACTTAACAATTGGGTCAATATGCCCCTGTGCTATTATTTTGGGTCTCAAGTTGCCCCATTTCATCAAATTTCTCAAAAAAAAATTGTTATCTTACTAACGTGGCATAGGCATTTTAGTAATTTTAGCTATTAAAATATTTTAAAATCTAAATTAAATATAAAAAACAGTTATAAATATTTTAAATTTCTTTTTAAAATTCAAACAATTCTCAATTCTATAAATTAGTTAAACACAATTCATCTCAGTTTTATTCAGGTTTTAACTTACAAAATTATGAAAATGTCCACACCACGTCAACGAGTTAACGGTATTACTATTTAAATTGATGGAATGGGCCAATGTGACACACAAAATAACAGGTCAAGGGCATATTAACCCAATTACAAAGTCAAGGGGTAAATTGAGATTTTTAGTAAAGTACAAGGGGCTTATCAATAAATAAGTCTATTATTTATATGATAATTGCCAAAAATAAAAGATATTCCCGGAACTTTGAAGTGAAGGAAATCAATTGAGAAGATTGGTTCTGATTGATCACGATATGATCTTGACTGTAACCTAATAGGAATGTACTTTATCTACGCTAGGGTTACACGCATATAAAAGGAAATGATGCTTCACAGCCAAAACACACAACTTTTCAACAACAAACTCTACACAAAAACCCTAACTCTTTCAGTCGAAGACATGGTTTCATTATTTATTGCTCTGCCAAGCCTTCCTTGGTATCAATTGTCAACTGATTCCATCAGTTGAAGACCATTCTGAGTGCCTCTTGCACTGTTCTATCCATTGTTCTCACATAGTTTTGATCCTCACTTCGTTGATCCTGGATTTTGTCTTGAACCAGAATTGATACTAGGTGGTGGCAACTTGTAGTTCTAGTCAATCTGTTTATTTGATTTCATTTGTTTTCACTATTTTATTTACTTTATTTCCCTTTCCATTTGTATTAGAGAAATTATGAAGTCCTCATTTGTCTTGAGGCATAAAAAAGAAACTTATTGATTTAGTTTACCATTTCAATTCACAATCGTTTGATTAAAGTCATTTACTTCGTGCACAAGTTTTCTTATTTATTTATATTTATTTATATTAATGTATATTAGAATTGGTTAATTGCTAATAGTGGCACACTCATACTACACCAATAGCATAGTCAGATGCATCACACATTAATTCAAAAGGTAATAACCAATCTGGTGCAACAATAATGGGGGCAGAGGTTAGCTCATGTTTAAGAGTTTCAAAAGCTTGTAAGCAATCATCGTCAAGGTTAAAAACAACATCTTTAGCAAACAGATTACACAAGGGGCGAGTTATTTTAGAGAAATCTTTAATAAAACACCTATAAAAACCATCATGCCCTAGGAAACTCCTTACTCCTTTTACTAAAGTA